TCCTCTCTCTCTCTCTCTCTCTCTCTCTCTCTCTCTCTCTCTCTCTCGCTCTCTCTCTCTCTCTCTCCACCCGGAAAATGGATCTCCTTTGGGAAATCTTTTCCCGCCGTCTTTTTCGACGAGACGAGTCTCGTCTCGATTTCGACACGGTTTCCTAAACAAAGCTCCCCCCCCCCTCCGCCCTCCTCTTCATCTTTTCTCTTGCTTTTTAAAAAAACAAACTCTTTTCGAATTTTTCCTTTTTGCTTAATTGTGTAATTAACGAGACGAAAATGAAAGGAAGAAATCCTTTTATCATAATCGCAAGTTATCGAGCGTCGATAATTATCAAGTTACGGTAGGAAAAAGAAGAAGAAGGAGGGGCGAATATCTCAGCGACGTGATCCAAATTCATTATCCGCGTTCCCGGGAGGGGGGGGGGAGGAGGTGCCGCCATCCGCGTTGAAATGAATTTCGAAAGTGGGGCGTACGCTTATTAGAAATTCCTGGATTGTTCCGCGCGCGTCGTATATATCCCGGTCTATTTGCCCGGCCCGTCGTAATTCGTGGGGCAGATTCTGGTGGCCGATGTACCGCGGCGCACATTGGATCGTAACGTGTCTCGCTTTTATTAAAAAACGAGCCTGCTGCCTTTTCGTTCTTTCGATAGATTCTTTCCTTCGTACGAACAAACGTTTCCAACCTATTACGTGTATTTTCGCGTAGAGAAAAGAAAATTTGTGGAAATAAGCTGGAAACAACGACTCTTAACGGAGAGAGATCTCGTCTATCGAAAAGAAAGACACGATTTCTCTTCGTCCCTGTCAAGATCGTATTTTTTTCCTATTGGATGAAATCTCTCGATTTTATTTTCCCCGAAATCATCAATTGTTAAATCCGTTCCGAAATTCGGGAAGCGAAATCGGGATCGTTTTCTCGATGGGCTAACGACCTTCTCGAATTTTTCTCACCCACGATCTCATTTTTTTTTTTTCCCCTCCGATGTTGCAGCCAAGAGGCGATGATCCGTGAACTTGGAATGTAGACGGAAGGGCGGGAAAACGGATCTGCCCCTCGCAGGATCGAAAGAAGGGCTTTTCCTCCACCTCCGCCATTCGTCTTCGCCGTTACCTCACCCTTGAACACCACCACCCCCTCGATCACCGCATTTGGACTTGAACACTGTAAGTAACGATCTTCCATCTTTTTTCTTTTTTTTTTTTTTATTCTCCTTCGTTTCGACACGGTTGTTCGAATAATAACTGGACAAAATTATTCTTTTTCCAATTCTGATATGGAGATTTCATTTTTAGAAAAATGATACTTTTTATTGTAATTTATCTTTTCATTAAAAATGTATATAATATAAAAATATAATAATCGATATATAAAAAAATATACGAATATTTGTGATTCGAATCCTTGAGTAATCGCGCGAAATATTTGTTTATTAAATTTTTTTATATAAAATGAAAAAAGCAGTGTAAAAAGGCGTTGCATACCGATCGTTGTAATTCATTGAAAGAAATAAAAAAATTGTCGACTGAAGTTAGAAATATTGTTTTATATATATAAAATAGGTTAAAAATTAATCCATAAATATCAATGGTTTAGATTAATCTAGTTATAGTAATAAAAAAAAAAAAAAAAAATAGAAAGTTTCTACTTTTCGTAAATAATTCGACTAATTCTAGAACATATAAAAAAAACATTGACAAATCGTTAGTTTCTAATATGAATTTAACTTTGAATTTAATTTATAAAAAAAACTTGTTGATAATTTATTCTTAACAAATTTGCAAAATATTTCTCAATTATTGAAACGTGACCGATCGGAAAAGAGGATTTAAAATTTTAACCTATAATTGTTACACATTACATCGAAACAATTATTTTTTATAGATTTTAAAATGAATTTTGTCCAGTTAATATGCACTATTCGAGCCACTGTATGGCACTCGCTTCAAGAGCAACGAAAAGTTTTGCCATATGTATATGACTCTTTCCGTCTCTCTACACTCGTTTCATTTCCTTCTCTCTTTGGGAAAAATACCGAACGATCTACGGATCTCGTTATTCGTCCGACGAGAAGAAGAGAGATGCGAGAAAACTAAGTAACTAATTTGGAACAGAGTCGAATAGCTCCAAGTTAGCCTCTCTATATACGGATTGCCGGTCTAATTGGTACGCCGGGTCGACCCATTCATCAGCCCACGTCCAACGGAGTCGATTAATAATATCGCATCTCGAAAAACACGTTTCTTTTTCGAAAAATGTTGAAAATCGAAAGCGAGATTCTTTAAAAAAAAAAAAATTAATCTACGCGCGTGTGTAATTCTCCAAGCACGATTATATATAGAATGAAATTAACGTAAACTACGAGAGAGAAACAACGAGAGAAAAAAAAGAGAGAGAACGATTATTTTTCCTCTATCTCTCTGCAACATACGCGTAATTAATTATCGAGCGATCCACTTTATGAAAAGCGAGAGAGCGTCTTCGTATGATTTATATATTCACCATTATTTTCCTATCGTTAGGTTAATTCGTGTATTCGTTACGCAAAAAACATTCTCATCGTCACGTCTCGATTTATATTTCTCTCGTCGAAAGAAGAGAATCGATTCGACGATCGATATTTGTCTCCTATTCTATCGAATTATCGAATAATTTCGACGAATAAATCATGGAGGCTGATAACGCGGCTGCACCCTTGCGATAAAGCGGAACAAAACCGTGGGCCGGGAGGAGGCAACGCTTTTGATTTTGCCAGTTTAATCGACCGGTTTCGATTTCCACCCGTCGTGACAAATTTTGCCGCTGTATTTTCCGGGACACTCGCGGCAATTGCTCGTTACGTACGAACGCATACGTAATGGAACGGCATCCGCGTTTATTGACTGATACACACACACACACACACACACACACACACACACACACACACATATATATATCTATATACACAATGATACCGATCCCATTACATCGAAACATTTAAATTCGTTTTCTCGCGTTTTATCCACCTTCTCACTTTGTGCAAATGGATATTTTTTCTCTATATCTCTCTCGTTGATCGAATGGAAAAACCGAAATTGTGATTTTTTATCGAACCGACACTGTAAATCTTTTTTTACTTTTGATTATCGTAGCATCGTGAACAAAAATAACCTCGAATCGCAAGGAAAAGAAGGACTGTTCGATCATTTTCTTCGTCGACGTTAATGATACACGTGTGTGAAGAATGCAGCGAGGAAGAAGGAGATAATTGACAACTAGGATAAATCGCGGGGAAAAAGACTAAATAAATAATTGACGATCGTAACGAACGTTGTTCCGTTGTGCTCGTAAGTTATCGCGGGTTGCACGATGCTGCCACCACGGCAAGGGGGGGACAACTAACTTTTTACATCGACACCGTTCACAGCTTCTGTGTCCGTCGATGCCTCGATAGAAAGGCACCTCGCGTCGTCCCGACTTTCTACCTTCTTCGTTCGAATCGCACCCTTTCTCGTTTCGTTAAATCGTGATCGCGTCGGTCAATGGAACCGATTTCGTTGTTTTCACGAGAGAACAATAAACTTCGAAGAAAAATTCGAAACTGATCGTTCCCTTCGAGGGAAGAAAGTTGGTTCGTTCGTTCGATTTTGGGTAAGTAAATACACAGAACGGCAGTTCAAATGTAACGGTTTAGACGAGAAAAATTTCGAGAAAATTCGATCATTTTCGATTTTTTCGAATAAAAAAACGCAAAAGCGAGGAGCAGCAGGTGGGATACGCGTCCTCCCTACGGGGAAGGAAGGGAAACGGACGATAAATTATCATTCTCGATGACAGCTAATCCGCTATTTTCTCTCACGAACGCTTCCGCGTGTAACACTTCGATACTGCGCGCCGCACCACCACCGCTCCGCACAAACGGAACACGTAGAAGGAAATGACCAATCAACGCGGACCTTCGTGCAGAAACGTCACGTTATATATTTCCTCCTAGAGACGCGTATAGGAAATATACGATTCGAGAGATGCATGGAATGGAAAATGATCAAAAAATTAACTAAAATCCTTTATCGCGTGTTTTTCTTTCAGGCGAGGAGACACGATGCCGAGAAACCGAAATTCCTTGACCAAATTCGAGGTACTGATGGTGCTAAGCTTAACGGTGCTGGTTCAACTGGACGTGTGCAGGTGCACCCCGTCCCACAGAAGCAGACATCACGCGGATATGTCGTACGAGGATACGATGAGCTTTCGAAGCGGCGAGGAACTGCCCAGACCGGCCGCCCTCAATTCGAACGACGATCCACTGATTGTTCAGACAAGAAAGGGCAAGGTCAGGGGTAAGACCATGACCGCTACCACGGGAAAGGAGGTCGATGCCTGGTTCGGGATCCCTTACGCGCAGAAACCTCTCGGTAAGCGGTTCTTCTCGCTTCGTCTTTTTCTTCAAAGTGATACGAGAGGCAAGCAAAAGAGATTATTGTTTTCGTTGTTGCAGAATCGCTGAGGTTTCGGCATCCAAGGCCAGCGGAACGTTGGTCGGGTATATTGAACGCCACCACATTGCCCAACAGCTGCGTACAGATTCTGGACACCGTGTTCGGTGAGTTCGCGGGCGCGACCATGTGGAATCCGAACACGCCGTTGAGCGAGGATTGCCTTTACGTGAACGTTGTCGTGCCACGTCCCAGGCCTACCAACGCCGCTGTTATGGTATGGATATTCGGTGGTGAGTTCCACGCCTTTGTGTTTCACACCTTTTTCTCAGACATACGGCGTTCCTTCACACTCGTTTCTTCCTAAAGCGGGAAACGCTTATTTTCGACATCGCGGTTATTTCTAGAGAGTAGTACGTCGGTCGTTGTATTTTTGTCCATTGTAGGGACAACGTCAACAGGTGTTGCGAACGAGATAAGCGTTGTTCGCGAAGTAAAAGTAGAGTTTCTTTCCCTCTTTCTTTTTTCTCTCTGTTTCGAATCGCGCGACATCCTTGTGCGTAGGTGGCTTCTATTCCGGATCGGCGACTCTCGACGTTTACGATCACAAAACCCTGGTGTCCGAGGAGAAGGTGATCCTTGTCTCGATGCAGTATCGCGTGGCCAGCCTCGGTTTCCTCTACTTCGGAACCCCCGATGTTCCTGGGAACGCAGGCCTCTTCGACCAAGTGATGGCCCTCGAATGGGTCCGCGACAATATCGCCGCCTTCGGCGGCAATCCTGACAACGTCACCCTGTTCGGGGAAAGTGCGGGCGCCGTTTCAGTTTCCATGCACCTCCTTTCGCCTCTCTCAAGGTATACTTTCTCTCTTTCTCTCTTTCTTTCTCTCCATCCATTTAAGATCGATCCTTTACACCCGTGTACACTCGTTTCCAGGCATCTGTTCAACCAGGCCATCATGCAATCGGGCTCGCCGACGGCGCCTTGGGCGATCATTTCGCGCGAGGAGTCGATCGTGCGAGGAATCAGGCTGGCCGAGGCGGTCGGTTGTCCTCACGATCGCGACAACCTGCAAGAGGTGATCGATTGCCTCCGCGTCAAGGATCCGATCGAGCTGGTGAAGAACGAGTGGGGGACCCTGGGTATCTGCGAGTTCCCGTTCGTCCCTGTGATCGACGGCGCGTTCCTCGACGAGACGCCGCAACGATCGTTGGCCACCTCCTCGTTCAAAAAGGCCAACATCATGATGGGCTCGAACACCGAGGAAGGTTTCTACTTTATCATTTACTATCTGACCGAGTTGTTCCACATCGACGGGTCCGAGGTAAAGGTGAGCAGGGAGCAGTTCATTAGCGCCGTTTCCGAATTAAACCCGTACGTCAATCAATTCGGAAGGCGTGCCATTATCTACGAGTACACCGACTGGCTCCGCCCCGACGATCCGCACGCGAATCGCGACGCCCTGGACAAAATCGTCGGCGATTATCAGTTCACTTGCAACGTGAACGAGTTCGCTGGCCGATACACCGACACTGGGAACACCGTTTACATGTACTATTATAAGCACAGGTGAGAGACTCCGCGTCCTCGAAATTAAAACCTACAACGAGGAAAAGAGAAGGAGGAGGAGGAGGAGGAAGAGGAGGAGAGAGATCGATCTATAATCGACGACACATAAATCGATTTAACTTTTCCTTCCTTTTTTTTTCTCTCTCTCTCTTCACAGATCGATGAACAACCCGTGGCCAAGATGGACCGGTGTGATGCACGCGGACGAGATCAGCTACGTGTTCGGCGAACCGTTGGATCCGACCAAGGGTTACACCCCCGAAGAGGTGAATCTGTCGAAGAAAATGATGAGGTATTGGGCGAATTTCGCGAAAACGGGGTAAGTCGAAGAGCAGCGAGTTTCTCTCTCTCTCTTTCTCTCTCTCTTCTTGAAAAGAAGCTCGTCATATGTTTATTGTGTCGTCTCGATTGGATCCAGGGATCCGAACGTCGGAGACGTGGACATGTGGACGCAGGCGTACTGGCCACCTCACACTGCCGCCAAGAAGGAGTACATGACGTTGGACACGAACAGCTCGGAAATCGGGAACGGACCTAGAGTGAGGCAGTGCATATTCTGGAAAAACTATCTTCCCCAATTGGTCGCCGGTACTTGTAAGTAAAACTTCTTCTTTTCTTCCCCATCTATATACGTTTTCTCCTATCCTCGGCTCGCGTCGAAGATCATCATTTTCTTCTTCCCGATGACACCTGTTGAATGGGAAAATACGCTTGGGAAAGGCCGCCACCTTTGGAGGCGAGTCGATCGATTTATTTTTCTCTTCACCGAAAGATTCTCGATCGAGCGCGATCAAACGAGAATAATACGAATAAGCATTCTTTATCTATCTCCTCTAATTTTCCTGTCTGGAAAATGGTGACTCGCTGCGAGAAATCCTTTTTCGTTACCACGAGCGAAAAGATAGGAAATTTCGAAAATTGGAAATTTCTTGGCAACAGCGACCTAAATTATTCCATCCTGATTACGTTATTACGGCCGAGTGCAATTTAATACGACGTTATTCATGATTTGGCCCCGTGCCATTCCAATACACCCTATGCACAGGGGAGAAACTTAATCCTTCGTCCGCATTACGCGGTGGCGAAACAGGTGAAACGTATTTTTTAAACGTCTCGAGAGTGCTTTCCTTCGAAATAACGATTCTGCCTAACCGGTTATCTCTTGTCGTAAATGTTATTATTTATTGTTTATTCGTGAAAACAAGTCTCGCGGAAGAAAACTTCAACGATCTATATTTAAACTTCGATTATCGCATTAAACATAGAGTCTAGAAAGAATTCTAACTTCTTATTTTTCATCAATATGTATAGATTATATTGCTATTTGTATCGATAGTTTAATTTATAATAAATAGTTTATTTTCTTATTCAAGTGGTTAAGATAATAATTGTAGGAATATATATCGATATCCTTGTATAACTTCGTAAACGAAAATAACTTTTACGATTTTGAATATTCGAATAGCTCTTCCACCAATAGCGTGTGGTGTCAGGTTTGTCAACAAAACGTTCGAAGTGGGGATAAACGGTCCTAGCGAAGGATCCCTCTTGCCCCTGTGCCGTCCCGCGAGACTTTTTTCGAGCAGTGAACATATCTTCGCCACCACCGTTTCGTTAAAGTTTCAACTTCTTCTATTTCAATTATTCTCTAACCAACTATTTTATTCCCTTCTTTTACTTCACTTGTATTTTTATATAAAAGTTATCTACAATATTTCGAACATCATCTCCATCTTTGTAACATTATATTCATCTCCATTTTTGTAAATTCGCTCGATCCATTCGTGATGAGCGAACGCGAACATTTCTCTTATTCTTTTTCTCGAGGGAAACGATTTCGTATCTCTCGTGATTGACTCCGAGATGGGCCAAACAAAACGAGAGGAGTGCTCGACCCTGTCGCGTGTCTCGGGAAAAACGGGTCGCGGATGCAAGAAAATGGCTGCAAGCCAACCATCGACTATCCTGTTCTTCTTTGTTGTATCCGACGATATTGCGTCGCGCGGGCCAGCATGCCGCTCGCCTAAAGTAAAAATCGCGGAGAGAAGCCAATTTTTATTGGCACTAACGTCGAACCAACGTTTCTTGGAAAGTTTCCCCCCGTTTCGTTGCGGTTCTAACTATTTCTCGATAAACGTTTCGTTCGATGTTATTCCTTTCCAATCCTTCATCCATATATATATATATATATATATATATATGATATATATATATATATATATATATATATATTTATAATTAGTAGGTACGTTA